ACGCAGCCTCCCATCTCTTCGACTCTTCGGTGGATCTGAAAGCATCGCCTCCCTCCGCCATCCCGTCGCTACGCCCTTGAAGAGAGATGAGCAAAGGAGGAACAGGAGGTCTCATCGAGGCCGACGATCGAGGTCGGGTTTTAGACCCGCGTGTCCCGCGTGACGTCTAAATGGACGGTACCGTTGCTCAGGGCTAGGTGGAAAGGGAAGGACACGCGTGTTGCCGCGGCGGACCGCAATCTCGCGTTTCCTCTCCTCGATCATTTGTGAAGCCTGCATCGGTACCTGCTATATCCATAGTCCGAACCAGACACCTATACTGACCCACTCTCACTCTCACCTTTCTCTTTCCATCCGCGTCTCTCCTTTTAGATTTTCTCCTCACAGCAGTGGCTCTGTCTTCTCGCGCGCGTTTGTCGAAATGATAAGATATACACGCGTGAACGTACACACACCTCTCGTCCCTCGAATCTCTTCATCGCAAAACTATTTTCGTATGCAAACACACGAATCGTTGCAAAATCAACGTTTCGTACAATGCGCAACGCAACAATACGCGTTTATTCGCGTTGCTTACAATTTTTGCAGTCAGCGTCCTTGCTTTTTCTCTCTTCAATACATAATTTATACTGAATATATAATTTACCTCATTTTAAATGTAAAAATTTGTGAGGATTTAATTTAAGCAATGTGAACAGACCTGAATGATAATTAAATCTTCGGGATGAAACGTGCAAGAAATGCATGGACGGAGGAACGGCACATTTAAATTTGCAGTTGAAAACATTAAAAAATGTAGGTTGTTGATACATCTCATTAGCAAACCGATGTTGAAGAATAGTGTGTTACATGATAAAAATTCCTCACGCGCGAATATATGTATAACTTCGACCGCGTGATGCAAATAATGCATCTACGCAGAACAGTAAATCGTTATGCAATTCACGACGGATAATTGCAACAAGCACAAAAGCGAATGACGATACCTGTAATTGGACTAGATTGCGACAGTAAATGATTGATAATTGACTAATTGCCGTGCCGCCCTGGACAGTGCAAGGGATGCCGAAGACGTCGTTATCAGTTAACCAGTTGACGATACGTTCGGTTGACATGAAGCGTGCACTTCCAATAGTTTTACTTCACCTATGGTGGAATTCTCTCCCGGAAGTATGTTCCTCGAGGTAAACGACTTCGTGCTCCTTTAAAAGCCATTTTCGCCTCATTACGCACAGCGTTTTGTCTTGTCGCGGAGTCTTTTATCGCTTTATAGGCGAAGATAGGCGAAGAAAAATTGCATGCAGCAATTTTTAATCCGAGTCGTGGAAGGGAATAGTGTCTCGATCAGTTTCTTTCTCAGACGAGTCCAAAATTGAGACATACAGAGACGTTTTAAAGACATTTTTGCGAGAACCGTCTAAAAAACGTTTAAAAGACGTTTTATGTTTCGATTTTAAGATCTAAACTGTGTTTCTTAACATATATATTTCTAGAAAGAAACACGTAAAAAGTTGTAGGCTGAAGCGAGCCGTTTCCTAGACTCTGCCAGATAGAAAAATTTCAAGTTAACGCGGTCTATGAAAAATCGTTACGACTAATGCTGATGTACATATATTTATGTTAATGTTAACGTTTATTCATTTGTTTGTTCTTACTTCTTAATTTAACAGCAATTTTTTGCATATTTCTCGTGAAAAGAAGAAACAAGCTTTTTAAAATGCCTTCTTTTGCTTCTCCGTAGACAGAGACACGATATCAACTTGCTAACAACTTTTCTCTCGCGCGATCAAATAAGTTATCTAACCGAAAAAATAAATAGTAGTTTTCGATGGTGTATGTCAAATCTTACAGGATTAAAGTATTCTCCCTCGTTTAATATAATGAGAATTTCCGATGAGTCAGTAACCAAAGATATAATACAATACAAATAAAACAACAAGCGTTAAACAAACTGCATTAACAATGAACGGACAAAACAGAAAAGAACATTAATGATGATGAAAGACGGAATTTTTCTCGTAGCTTGCTCAGCGAAGATGTCAACAATTGCTCTATGACGTCGAGGCTAATTCTGCCAGAACATTATGTTAAAGGTAATGTGCGGCTTACCAGGACAAGACGCTTGCATTTACGTTTCTTGTACGAATAATGAACTGTATATAATAAAACTCTTTGCAGAAATTAGACCGTCATCGGGTGCACCTGTAGTGGTAAACTTCAACATTTTAGTGGTTGACATTAATTCTATCAACGTTGAAGACATGGACTTTCGGTAAATTAAAGCGATAAACTTCTTTTGAGCAATAATCAAGAATGAATTAAATATAATGTATAATTCCCTATACTTAATAATTTAACTCTTATATACGAGTATAACATGTGTTTTATTACATTTAAAAACTTAATCTTTTGAGGTGTATTACTTCTGAAAAGTAAGAGAATATGTATAAAAAGATATAAAATACGTTTAATTTAAATTAATTAATGGGATATATTTAATTCAAGTTAAAAAGATAAAATAGATGTTTAAAATCTGGATGTAAAAGATTATAAAATTACAATTGCGTATCTTTATTAGTGTAGACATGTTCGTCAGTCAAAGTTGGATAGAATCTCGACTGAATATGTCTGAAGATATCTTCGAAGAAGACGACGATTATGTCATACTTCCCCAGGAATTTTTCGATAATCTTTGGCAACCGGATCCATATTTTTTAAATTCAAAAGTTTCCGGTAAGCCATGTTTGTCTTCGCGTTAAATTGGGCGATATTCATAGTCCGTTCTTATTTCAAGACTGTACTTAAGTAATGTCTTAAGACACTAATACGATCCCCTTTGGTACGTGATTTCTTAAGACTGTACTTAAGATGGTCTTGAATATAAGATCTGACTATGAATACCGGCTATTGTTATGTATTAATAATTTTTCAGAGATTGCGACTTTAAATCACAAATTCTCATTGGTCACGTTATACCGGAATAAAACTATTAAATATTCTGCCCGAATTAACGCTATTGTTGCCTGTCAAATGGAATTTCAATTGTACCCGATGGATATTCAAATCTGCCCAATATACATAGAAAGCTGTAAGTAAAGCTAAATGCCATAAAAAACTTAAGATGTAAACAGTAAGCGAATCGATCAATCGCAATAGAGACCGTAAGACCGTGACGTAAGCAGTAACGAATCCAACATGTTAATTTCTTTACTGCTTAATTAAGTCTTACGTTTTAAGTTTCTGCATGTGCCAAGGCCTTTAAACTTAAAATACAAATGCAATTGCGAGTTTCAGAAACAATTTACGATGCATAAATATATACTCTTTTACAAAATTATTTTTAAAACATATGACAGCAGAAAAGAGAAAAGAAGCGTTATATATTCTTGAATAAATTTTTCGGTAAATTTATCCACTTGTTACACACACAAATCCGAATTATTTGTTACAGTTTCCTACAATAGAAAAAAGTTGCGTTTAAAGTGGGGCGCGGGCGGTGTTACGGTAAATCCTGAATTGAAGCTTTTGCAATATGATATTGGGAAGCCCGCAGTGTTCGAAGAAACTATAGATTATATGATCGAGAAAAATGGTATGTTAAAATTTAATATATTTATACACATTTAATTTGAAATTTAATCAAGAGTTTATTTAAATCCCTTTGTCCGATGTTTATAATCATTGAAACAATTATTACAAATATGCTTTATATTACATTAAATCAAATCCATAAAATCCAAAAAACATATATAACAAACTCTAATTATAGAATGAAAAATCACATGTGGAATAAAAAAAAATCCTAATTAATAATTTGATAATTACCTCGCAGGAAATTTCTCCCGGTTAGTAGTCTTCTTTCGCTTCGAGAGGCAGATCGGTCACCACTTGATACAAACGTTCGCGCCGTCAACTCTGGTCGTGATGCTTTCCTGGTTCAGCTTCTGGTTGGACTTGGATGCAATTCCTGGTCGAGTGGCTCTTCTGGTGACGAGTATGCTTACATTGGTAACGATGTTCACCGGTCTTAAAAGCGATATTCCGCCAGTGGCGTATATCAAGGTAAATTTGCAAATGTAGTACTTCAACTTTCTGCACATCTCCTTATATATTTGTTATCATACTATGTATAACAGAATATTGCCTCATATTGACATAATTTATTTTTTCTAATATAAAAATATACACGTTTGCTTACGCAGGCTTTAGATGTGTGGATGGCTGGCTGTATGATGTTCGTGTTCGCAGCCTTAGGAGAGTTTGTCGTAGTCAAAGTGCTCGACTTGCGACACATTACAAATGATTCGCAAAGTTTCACGGACTCTCGCTCGTTCTCGGTTCGTGTCTAAATATTGTTCGTAACAATCTTAGTGATAATTTTAGAAGGCTGTTAAATTGTATTTTATTCGTTAAATACGATTATTCATTTTTAGCGATTAATGGCGATGGTGAAGAGACAGAGCATTTGGGATGAAGAATTTGTTTGTGCAACCAAACCGAAGAAGCATACCAATAATCATCTACTGCCGACTCTATGGCTGGATCCCGAATGCCAGATAGTGCAAACGAATAAAACGCGTTCTCAAAAAATAGATTTCTACAGCAGAATTATGTTTCCTATACTCTTCTTATTTTTCGTCGTTCTATACTGGCCAATAGTATTGCTCAAAAGCGTAATAAAATAATATGAATTTTGTAGAATCAGTATTAGCATTCCGTATGTAATTAGCACTTTTCATATTTAAAATTTGTGAATGAGTCATTGTCGTTGCGCCGACTAGAAGTTTGAAATGTATCTTTATTTATATGATACAGAAATAAATTTTTTTTACATTCGTTTATTTTTATAAAATATTTTCATATTTACACTACGATTATGTTTCAAAATTTATTGCTAGTATTGAAAATCTGTAGTTTACGTGCATTAGAGGTTTTTAGTACTAGCAGTAAATTTTAGAACATAATTTGTATTAAAATTATTATTATTAAAAAATCGTCGTCCTACAAAGATTTAAATAAAGCTTAATCCGTATCCATTTCTTCAATGGAAAAATCAGATTCGTCATCTATCTTAATAGAAAGCTTCGATGCATTTTTCCCAGATTTTAAATCTCCTATCCTCAGTATATAGCTCATTGTATATTGATTAAAATCGCATCTGTAAAAACGTTTCGAATTATTTCCATGTTTATAACATGTATATACAGTGAAGAAAATGTAATAACACTTACATTTTACTAAGATCATCATATTTCTTTTGCATATTCTTTTGCAGCATTAACAGTACTGGCATCTGAAGCGCAGTATCAATCCGAGACCCGTATTTCGTCAAGATTATTTCTACCCATAAAAGATAGAAATGTATATGCCTCGTTGATTCGAATTCAGATGCTATAAATTTCAGCAATTTCTCGATATAAACATCTGACATATTCGTCGTCGTTAACTCAACTAAACAGCCAGAAATCAAACAAGTATTTATTATATGTCAAGTCATTATTAAAATCATTAGGAAATTAATTTAAAAAAAAAAATATATATATATATAAACTCACTTTCTTTGTACGGAATGGTCTCTATAACTTGCTGCGTTAATAACTTCTCATTTAACTTCAATGCCATCATTAATGCTGAAACAGTAACAGTTGCGTTTATTTGTTAATCTTATTATTATTATTATTATTATGATATAAAAATGTCTATACCTTTTGCGTAATCATGTTTGTCAAGTGTTTCTCTCACAGTATCCGGAGTAATTCCAAGCTCCAATTGAAATGGATCAAACATTAATCCAATATCCAAAGAATATATTAACAATCCTTCCGTTGTTGCTGCTGCCCATGCTTGTCCTATTTTACAACATATTTAAATATACTTACTTCAAAGAAAATAATTTTAAAAAATCATTCATTTCTACCTGTGGGAGAGAATTGTAAACAAAGTACTCTCACTTCCAGTTTGACTCTCCTGCTTGCCATATCTCCACTTCTAACACCTGGCAAACGTAATGATATGTTTCCACCTTCGCGATGCTCAATTAAAGCTCTATTTCCAAATTCAGACATGTACTTCCTGTTTATAACATCCTGCCAAAGTAGGAATTAAGAATAGATCTTTGTTTTGCAATTGCTTCTGTATTTATATTTAATATATAATAAAAGAAAAAATTTAAAACATTTTACACGATATGTATTATTACTTACGTCCACACCATCCAGAGATCTGTTCTGAGTGATTTCATACTTTTTTAACAATATCGATTCTTTAACATTATAAATGCACACATTTTTGGAACGACCACCAGCTAATATGCACGTACCATCAGCCGAATAACATAATGTAGTAAAAGCTCTAAAAAATAGGATTTAATAATGTATCGTTAAGACAAACAAGATATACTAGATAGCGTTTCTCGCACTACTCACTTGGACTGTAAATTTTTTTTCGCCGTGATGAGATCTGTTTTAGATCTACCAGCACCTAAATCGGTTCTGCCCTCAATAAAACCTGTCTGTCTTGCCGTTTTACATTCAAAAAATGTAATCTGTCCATCCAACGTAGCAACAGCAACTTCTTCTCCATTTGGTTTATAAGTTACGCACAGAGCATCAGCGATTAATCGTACAGTCTCGTGTGCAGAGCCATTTTCAATAGCATTCCATATTTTCAAGGTTTTATCCCAGGATGCAGATACTAATTCTGTACTGGCGGGATTGGGATTAAATGCCAAGCTTGCAATAGGTCCCTCATGACCACTCAGTATCTGAAATCGAATATTTTAAGCATATAATTTTGGTTGCATATTTATAGGTATGTCTATTATATAATTTAAACTACATAATTGTAAAAATTTGAACAATACAAATCAGATGAATAAAGTTATACACACCTCTAAAAGAGTACCGAGTTTCATACTCCATAGATACACATCAAAGAAATCTTGACCACCCGCAGCGATAAACTCATCACTCGCATCGATCGCCAAGCAAGAAAATTGTACAGGACGTGGCGAGGTGAGAGTACGAAAATTTCTGTACCTCGCTAAATCGTACGCTCGCACCGTTCCATCCAACGAAGCAGACGCAACGAATTTACGATTGTGACTAAAGAGAACGCTAGATATCGATGAGGTATGCTCGTGAAACGTAAGCGTACAAAATCCGGTTAATGTATTCCATAGTTTAACTTTTCCATCGTCGCCACCTGTTATAATATACTGACCATCAGGACTGTATGCCAGACAGTTCATATTAGTTCTATGTCCTTGCTGTTTCATGGCATATGTTTCACTTTGCCACTCCCAAACCAGGAGCTGTCCAGCATGAGAGCATCCTATAGCTATCCAATCTCCAGTAGAATTCAATGCAATCGATGAAATACGCAGTCGAGAAATACTGTGAAGCCATATAGTAATTTAGTTAATCTCTAATATCACATATAATTAATATAATATTAAAAGCTAAAAAATATCAAATCATATTATTTTATAATTAAAATATTATTGTACCTTAATGAATGGATCAAATTAGCGTGCGGCATTTCATATAAGAAAAATGAACCATTACTAAATCCAATAACTAATATATGAGTATCTTGGTGATAAGCAGCTGTAGTAAGTTTTGCATCTTTACTTTGCTTATGAACTTCGTCTGCCAAATAGAAAGTAGCTTGCTTTTTATAGCCCAACAATTTGATTTTTTTGTCTTTCTCTTTCATAGAAACCTCTTCTATATTATTTTGTGGCAAATCGTCTAGTAAAATGTGCACATATTTTTATAAATTACTATTATACATGTAATACGCTATTATATATACAATACAGTAAAAACTATTATTTTTAATCAACTACATTCTAGTCAGTTTTACAATTATTTATAAACAATATTAAATTCAGAAATTTCATAGAATGAAATTTAATAAAGAAATTATAAAAAAAGAATAAAGAAATTTTCTCACCCGAGTCTAATAATTTCTTTTCGGCATAGGCCTTTTGCCTTTCTGTTTTCTCTATAATTTTGTCTATATCTATGTCATCCTCGCTATCACTATCTTTAGGTTTTTCTTTTTTTGAAGGCGGTTCCCATTCAATCAAATCGTCTGGTTCAAGTGTACATTCCCAGACACACACTCGACCATTTCTGTAAAAAAAATCTTCCGAAGATAAATAAGCGAATTCACACAAGTTGCATAGGATATTATTGTGTGTGCAAAATTTCTCTTGTCAACAAAAATAATTATACAATAAATTTAAACTAATACAATGTAAATATGTTAAATTGTATCACTTACTTGCTAATAGTGTATATATCATATTGTTTTGCTTCAAAGAAACATGCTACTATTACATCAGAATGACCACCCAATGTAATCCATCTAAAGTTTGCCCATTTTTGTAAACTGTATATCTTTACAGTAGTATCCTTTGAACCAACCGCTAATAGTTTCGAGTCAAAAGACCAACTAACGCACGTTGTCTCAGCAGTAGCTCCATGAAACGCATGTTCCATAATAAATGGATTGTAATCCCCTGTTTGTAAACCAGGTGCATTGAAAATGAATACTGAAATACAAAAGCAATATATATTACTTTACATGTATATTATATTTTTGTTAATACATTTTCATAAGTTTAGAATAGAAAATACTTACCACCACCTCCTTTACAAACTGCAAAATGTTTTCCATCTGGAGAAAACTTTACACGCTTAGGACGTCCTTTGAATCTATATTTATGTAAAATTACTTTGCTTATTAAACTAATGATATGAGCTTCACCATCTGTAAATATATTATAAAGCTGTGATTTCTCCTATAAATAATCCTTCATAAATAGTATTAAATAATTTTTGGCAATGTGTACAAAAAGAAGTCTTCTTACCTGTGTTAATCGCTACTAATATATTCCCGTTTGGTGATACATCAATTGTAGTATAATTAAATCTGCTCTCAACAGGAAGTGTCATAGATTTGTTACTAAAAAAAATCATTTTATACAAAAAAAAAATATTGTGTAATAATTATTATCATATAAAATTTATAAGTTTTTTTAAAGTTGCATGATTTACAATAAAATTAATACTTTTATAATTACATACTTTTTTAAATCAAAAATTGTGATTCGGTTGCCCACAGGGCTAATAACGGACGATCCATCTGGAGTAAAGTGTAAATCTCCTTTACGATAAACTGTGCCAAGTAAATTACTGAACTACAACAAAAATGGAAAGCATTTCACTGTAATTTATAAATAATATATACTTCATGTACACATACATATACACATTAACACACACATGAAGCTTTTATACATATTTAAAAATTACCATATATTATATAAGTTATCTTTATAATTATCAGTAAGTGGACTATAATAAAAAAAATATTATAACTAAATATACAACTAAAAATCTTATTAATCGCAAATAAAAGGGAACATAAATATCAAAACATTATAGGTTAAAAATATTGTATGTATGTAATAATTTTAAGTAATAAAGAACACAATTTACAAAAAATAGAATTCATAAATTACAGTTTTTCTAAAACAATAAATATCTTACTTTATATGAAAACTTCATCTTTCCTTTACTAATGCCAAAAAAATATCTATTTAAACCACGTGCAAATACATCCCAATGATCACATAAAAATATACGACTACACGAGTGGTGTGTACATACTGAATTGGTTGTATCATGTAGTTTCAAAATTATCCTAGCGAGGACGCCACAAGCGCGACTTTCGTTGCAATTTACTGCATTACCGTCGTTCGATTATATAGTGAAATAAACATATTTTATATAGAAATATTATTATCTATTATTATTATTATTAATTTTATAAATTTATTTTTCTCAAAAATTAATAATGAATTAAGAGAAAATAATTGAAAAAGGTTACATCAACGTATCAATATAATTATAATAGCAAAAATTGACTACATTCAGCAGAGAAAGAAGCTTTACAATCGTAAAATATGACAGGTTTTTATATGTTTAGATCTGTAAAGAACCAAAAGCAAGAACTAATCGTATTCAAGAATTTTACAACTTACTCGTGTTACTTTTGATCCCATGCAGTCCTCTTCTCTACAATAACAATCAACGTCAAAAAATTTATCAACTTTCGGTAAACTATGAAAAGATGTATAGTTCTAAAGTTGATAAAATATCATATCTAATCGGATAACAGAAGACATAAATTAAAATTATGAAAAAACTGCGATTCCAAGAATCTTATTTAGACTTGAATAATGGAAATTTGAAATTTCAAAAACATACAAAGTATAATTAGAGAATCATTTATATATAATTAGATAAACAATAATTTTATATAAATTTCCTAAAATGTCTATAATTTTAAGTCTAAAAGTTAAAACATGCACAATTTCTCAAAAATTAGTAAACTACAAAGCAACGTAATTAGATAATAAGAATTAAATGAATTACATTATATAATACGCAAAAAAAATTTTTTTACACAGACAGTACTACATTTCAATTGAAGTTGAAAGTTTCTTCAGTAAAATGGCGTAATTAGGTCAGGGCCGTAGTACAATTTGAGTGAGAGTTCCATAACAACAATGGCTAACATATGCCACCCTGTATATATACATATATATATAATAATGAAATATTTTTATCTATAAAATATTATTATAAAATGTAAAGAGAAAAACACATTCAGCGTAATTCGTTACCATTTTATTATATCTTTGTAAGCATATCGATATTCACGAGTATGCCAATCACCCTACTCTTTAAAAACTCGGGATACTCAGCTGACAATTCAAACATCCGGTCATGTGCTTATATACGTAAATGGCAAACTCATTGAAGATGATTGTTTTTAAGTTTGATGATATATATCATCAGACAAATATTATCAAATATCATGAGATCGTAAGAGACATTTATGCGATATTCCGCAGTAATACACAGAAGTCGTTCGAAAAAGACCGCACTGAACAGAAAATTGAGCGGAAAACCCATGTCACGCGCTCGCAACGGCGAGAGCCGAATAGCCGATGCGTAGGAGCGATGCGCGTTGAACGCAACCAATCGGCGGGCCCAACGTCAGCCGGCTGGGGATGAGACGCGACGCGCGATTGGCCGGCGGCTCGAGCTCGCGGCCAATCGCGACAGGACTGACGCGACACGCCGCGACAGCGGCCACCTTCCACCGCGTTGATCGCTCGTCACTCATCACATGACCCGCGCCACTGTGCTCCGGTAGTCCGGTAGGCCATATTTGACAGTGGGACACTAGTTTAGCGCCGTGAGTGACGTGAAGATCGCTCTGCGTTCGACGATCCCGCGCGACCGATTCCCGTGCAACCTGTAAATACACCCGCGATCGACTTGACCGCCGAGATCCGATAAACCAGGCCACAATGACGGACGAAGCCGCCCCGGTGTACTCGCCGTTCTTCGGCGTTATGGGCGCCGCCTCTGCCATCGTATTTTCTGGTGAGTTTCGACGGTTTCGACTGTTTGCCCCGTCGCCACCTCGTGATCTCGCTCGCTCGCTCATACGTGCGGTGCGCACTGCGTTTGTTGGCGGACGTCGGCGAGAAGGAGGCCGCGAGGCGCGTCTTATGGCTCCTTACAGGTCTTACTGCGTCTCGTGTCTCCGCGTACTTGGCTCATTGATGTCGACGTCGCGCGTCGACATTGTCATTCATCGACGTCGTCCCCGTCGCCGTAGGGGCGCCGATATAACGTTTCTCACGCCATTTTCTCGCGCGGCGTAAGACAAATGAAAATCGTGTGCGAACAGCGCGGCGCGCGCGGATTATCGATCCTCCCCGCAAACGGCGAAGAAGAAATGCGGGGGAGACCCGAGACTGGAGAGCTCTTTCATCAGCTCTCATTTTCCACGGGGCGTACGCGGACGTGCGACGACGTCATGTGCCGCGAGACGCGTGACGAGCCGCGACAACGGCGACGTCCTTTCCTTCGTGGAAACCGCAGTCCGCAATGACGAAGCTCCCATGAAAATTTCAGCGACCTTATCTTATCTCGAGAATCGGGAGGCTCTCGGTTTAGCCACCGTTGATGGTTCCTCTTGTACCGTTTCGTTTTCTACCGTTTACTTTTGTTCCGTTTTCGTACGCTCTCGCCTCCGTTCTCCCTTTAAATTCTTTCTCCTCTACTCGCGCTCGTTTGGCCCTACGAACGATTTGGCAAATTCCCGAGGAAAGACGGTCCAAGAAATATGCGTCGGCCGCGCTCGCGCATTCCCTGCGCTCCTGGGAAACACGCGTTTTATTCGCGAATTAGCGCGGAATAGCCAGACCGGGCGCAGCTGCTATTTCGTAATGCTGACCTCGGTCGAGCGACTTAGAATTTTACGAGCCTTGGAAAAGAGACGCAGACGGACGGACGGATGCCATGGATAGAGACGGAGGAAACAGACGGACGGATCGGGCGTGCGCCTCGTGCGTGTCACGCAGTGTCACGAGTCACGAGACGCGTTCACGCGTTTCCCCGCCACGCCGCGCGCCGATTGTCTCCTGTTCTCTTACCTGCACTTCCTACACCTTATCCTTTTACTTTTGAATCTTTTTCTTTCTTAATAAACAGCGTCTACGATTAGATTTTAAGGCGTAAAACTTACGTCTCAAGCCGGATGAAATTGACCAACCACAATTGAATGTGAGGAGAATAATCAACTGTGATCATTTCTGACTGAATAATTTCTTACGATTTGAGGCTTAAAGCTTAAGTTTTAAATTAACTTTTAAAATTTCATTGTAGACCCCGCTTTACGACGCAAGTCGATCTCTCTTCTTCTCGATCGCGCTTCGTGGAAGCGAGCAAGCGAGTCGAGCGTCTCAACTTAGGAAAGTACAAGTGCAAGAAAAGTACAGGTCACCTGCTTCCTCGTGAGTCGAATGCGCTCCCGACTTCCGACGCGCGTATCGATTTACAATTAATGATTTTCCCGAATTCGTGGTAAACGGTGACCCCTGGGGACTGCCGCCACCGCCGCTAGCGAGCGTCGCTTTTACCCGTTGGGAAGATCAATACGAAAGCCTTTTCCCGTATGTATGCATGCACCCTCGGCCCTCGGCTTTTCCGTCGAGAATGTGGGATCGCGGGACCACATCGTCAGGAGCAAAGGTCGCGATTTTCTTCGTCACTTTTTCCCGAAGAATATCGATATCGATGGCCTCCGTCATGAGATTTAGATCTGTCCGCTTTATTTGCACTTTTTGCACCCAGCATTTTTGCTTTCTCTCCCTTCAACGTCCTATAATATATTGCGATATCTGCTTCGACGGAAGCATACAAATTGATCGTGGGCCGATTCGGCAATCGTATCATTTGCGTATGTTGAGAGAAATTCGCTTCAACGTGCCTGCTCGTCGAGTTAATCTTCGCGACGAAAATTCGACGAGAGACGAATTTCGAAATGCAAGAAGGGGTAGCCCACTTGTTTGATCTACGACACCTCGTGCGAGCCAAGCATAATCGAGTTACGAGCGCTTGAGAGGTATTTATTTATATACGATAAGGTGTGCACATATGTTCGCACACGATAAGGTTCGTAGTAACGACGATTAAATAGCCACGAGTACAGTGTTAGAGCAGGACGTTAGGGCTAAAGGTACGAGAGCAAAGAAAGAGGAAAAATGACATGTCGCCTCTCCCAGCCACGCGCCACGCCCCCCTACTCACGAGATGGGACTTGTGCGATTGTCATGTGACTGCCAACGTGAGAATCATGTGACTGCGATTTCCAGACTGGGCTGGGTCAGACTGGGTACCCGGTGTCACAGAGACACCTGACGACATGACGACGTCCCCATCGCGATCGCGGGGATTCTCGCGATTTGCGATCGGGATCGTCGACGACGACGTACAAAAAAGCAGGAAAATGACTCGGGATAAAAATTATTTTCGTCGCTTCTCCGTTGGGACCGTCGCGTTGGGACGAGCTCGATCGATAATCCTCGTAGCATGCTCGGCTCGTGAGTCGTATGGCTGAAACCGCCAAGGAGTATAATGTACGTCCGAAAAATACGCGTGATACTTGCGATTCACGATTCCTTCTTCCCCCTCCCTCTCTTCCCATTTTACCAAGTCCTTTTTTCCCCTAAAGATTTAATTTGTATTACGTTTGCCAATCATCTACAGCACCGGTCTTTAAAATGAATTCTCGTCTTACGTGTAACGACATGTGGAAAGGTGAAAGCAATAATGGTGTAAGTCATTTTTTAAATCTGTTCCATCTTGAGGACATTGATGCAAACATGAAAGAATCTTTTCTTTTTCGAAATCATAAAAGTGACTTAAACCATTATGACTTTCACTCTCCTCCATGTTTTTTCTCACATAATTAAATAATTTGATTCAAATATTTCAGAGTGTAGAAAGTATCTTCAACTTTTTGTCTATGAACTTTTATTAAATTTATGAAGTGATTAATGGCGGAGGAAAGAGCATGTAACTCATTTGATATATACCTTTGTAACAGATTTATTGTAACAGATATATACCTTTGTAACTATATTTATACTATAGACAGTTTGTTACATCCCTTTTTATTATGAGAGGATATTTTGTGGGATGATTATTTATATTTAATTATTGTAGGAAAAAAAAACCGTAGAGCCGTTTGAACTATATTGTAATCATAGACAATTGGAATAATTATGAGAATAATGGAGCAATCCGTAAGATAGCATCTCAAAGTGCTAAGAATGAGAACGAAGATTCCCAAGTTTGAGTCTCGATCGGTTCCGTTAATTTTTCGATAAGCATTGCTAATATTTCTTGCCATGTTTATTTGTATACGACGAAATATGCACATATATAATTAGCAAGTTATCGCTCGGTATTTTCCGTTTCATATAGAATCCTGTATTATTCTATTTTTTATTTTACTAGAATAGATGTTGAAACTACTGTCGAACTATCATATATTTGACATTCTCAATTTAACTAGCTATCTATAAACGTCTTAAAATGTTTTGTATCTGATTATTAACATTCAGTTCTGTAACTTGCAAAACACTGAGACGTTGAATATATATAAATCAATTTACATGAATATACTATATAAAACAAATAATTTTCTTATTAATTTACATTTTTATTACAATTGTACGAATCACTTATAACGAATTATTTTGTTTCACAGCTCTGGGAGCAGCATATGGCACAGCAAAGGCCGGTACAGGAATCGCAGCGATGTCTGTCATGAGGCCAGAATTAATCATGAAATCCATTATTCCCGTTGTCATGGCAGGTATCATTGCCATTTACGGTCTTGTAGTGGCAGTACTCATTGCGGGTAGTCTTGGGAGACCCCCTAAATATGACCTGTACAAGTATGTATCTTTTATACATACCAGTCTGTTATTATTTAAATCTTTCTATATTAAGCAGCGTTTTACAATGTGGTTGTAATTATATATTTACACGTTTATCATACATGCTCTGATAAAAAAAATGTAAAACGCTTATTGTTTGCAGTAGACTCTGTAATTAACGAGATATTTTTGTTCTGCTTATTAGTGGTTTCACTCACTTGGGTGCTGGTTTAGCTGTAGGCTTCTCTGGTCTAGCAGCTGGATTTGCTATTGGCATCGTAGGCGATGCTGGTGTGAGAGGTACCGCTCAGCAACCTCGTCTCTTCGTCGGCATGATCTTGATTCTGATCTTCGCCGAAGTATTGGGTCTCTACGGCCTGATCGTCGCCATCTACCTGTACACAAAGTAAATGGTCAGTAGCGGCATCCTACTACCTGCCATGGCTCCATGCAAGACATGTCGCCTGCAACCAACAGCGCTCCCCGACTACTATTATGCTACAACTTGTTTCGACATATTTTACTTAATCACGTTACTCCATGCATACCTATCTAATTACCATCTCGGCTCATCTCTGCGCGTCCCCCTGTAATATCATACTAAAAAAAAAATGATCCATCTATTTAGCATACGGACATTTAACCACGCCACGCATTATTTGTCACACGGATTGCATGATTATATCGAAGGTGCTGCGATTGAGAAGTGCGGCCAACTTTTTTTTTTCTTTATTTCGCGACACTGATGCGCAACGATGCATTTCGACACTGCAGTGTATGGAAAAGCGAATGTATAGTGGGAAAAAACGAAAGAGCGTGGAAAGCAAAGATCGACAGGGAAATACATATTTAGAGAAAAGATCTCCTGTGTTATAATCCCATTGTCGAACATTTCTCTTTCACTGTATAGTAATCATTTATAGCTTAGTACGACATTGAATTACCAGTTAAAGTAATCGGCTCTACTGAGTGTATAAAGGAAAATATGTTATTGATAAAAGAATATTTAGCACAATTATATATATATATATAAATATATTATAAATGCAATCGCGAAACGGCAGGTACGCGAATAGGAAACACACAAAAGAAAACTAAAGAAACGAAATTATATCATCGGAATAGAAATATGTAAGAATAAGTGACACGCAAATTACGCGTGGTAAAACGGCGTAATATAACAGAGCGAGAGAGGGAGAGGAAGAAAGAGAGAGAGAGAGAGAGAGAGAGAGAGAGAGAGTGAGAGTTTGTGAGAATGAGAATGTACCGGACAAGATCTCGCGTGAATAGAGATTGTGCAACTAGAAGTTAATAAACAAAGAATGATATTGATGGATGAAACTTTAGTAAAAAGAAAAAATATAAAAAAATGTATGAATGCGAGTAGATCAACAGGTACACACGATAGTATTAAGTCAATTGAGAGAGGCTGCTGGATACGACGGAATTTCATGTTTTCACGGTTATTCATGGACAACGATAGACGAGAGGAGGAGTAGGAAAAAAAAAGAAATGATCCGCCTAATCGGGCTGTCAAAGCCGCAAAGGCCAGCGGTCGATACTCGATTAGTCGCGCGATTTTTATCTAGTTCCACATTATTTCCATCATCGAGACCAACGTCGTCGTATGTCAATGAAGTAACTGGTATGTGAAAGCTTATGTAAAACCGATAACCATTCGTACCAGTGGACACATCAGTACACACATATACACACACACACACACACAGTGAGAGAGAGAGAGAGAAAGAAATATATACCGTATGATGGCAAAATCAATGATCATCTGAGAAAAGTTATATGTACGCTGATAATAACATGTAAACGGAGGATAATTTGTACATTCCATATTAAGTTCGTTCAGTACAGGCGAGCGGGCGTTTGGTGACAAAATTTACAAAAATTGTAGCCCACGCCGCGTCGCATTCTTCAAGAAATTGGCCGATCGCACATGCATACACATCTCACGTGGGGCAGCACCCGGCAGACGGACTTGTGTCGTCCTGGGATGGATTGTCTTTTGGGAGCTGACAATCGTACTCCTTTGTGCGCGCAGTCTTTCGATCGATCGCTACCATCTTTCCCCACAGTCGTTCGGGTACAAAAGAGGAGCAAAAAAGCCAAATCCATACGGAAAGTGCGAGCCAGAGCGCCCGCTTGCCACTTTTGACTGCGCGGTATTTTCTACCTAAGAAAAATGCAAACAAGTTTAACGATATAGGCGTATTTCCGGTGAAGAGAGGAAGAAAGGACTCATCGAATTGATAAGTTTATTTGTCGGGGACAAAAATGATCGAAAAGATTCAACAACATTTGTATGGAAAACTGCCACTCTCGCCTTGGAAATGCACTTGTATCGTATCCGAGATACAGCAGAAACAATAGTCGTCTCGACGGGAACGAAGAACGAGCGATAGCGAACATGGAAGAGAAGTTGCAATTTTCCGGAAACTTGCGTAGCTTAAAAAAAAAAAGAAATAAGAAACGAAAAACTATGCACGAGCGAGCCGGGGAGCGGTGTGGTGGTGGTTCGTTTGCTTCTTCATTTTTTTTATCTTTTTGTTTTCTCCTTGCAACAGGAAACGATCTTCGTCGCTTTATGCAGGCACGCTAGACACGTTTTATCGCCAACTACCCTTCTTCCCTTTATATTTTTGTCCGTTGTATATTTTAATATGTACGATGTATCGAGAGGGGGGGAACCGAACGTGATTATATAGGAAAGCTACAAACAAATGAAAAAAAAAAAAAAATGAGAAAGACGAACCCGGGGATTTAATTATAGTTGTGCGTGCGCTTGTGATGTATGTACATACCACCACGATGCTTCACACTACGATAATTACAATTTAGGCTAGCCCTAGGTTAGGTATTGTTGTATACCGAAACGTAGGGAACCGAACCTTGCGTAGCTGAGTGAACGGTAATTATTCGGGTATATGCGAGAGATTGTGTGAGAGCGAGCGAGAAAGAGTGAAAGATCCCCCCTCCGTTCCCCGCCCTCGCCCTCAAATCCCAAACTCTATTATCTTCCAGTGTTACTAATAGACTCATTGTTGAGCGCGAAAAAGTGATACTGATCGACGATGATTATTTATGTTATAATTCGTCCTCGATGTTACAGAAGAACCGTGTTTAATAAAAATTTCATTTGGACAAAAAGGAAAAGAAAAGACAGTATTCGGCACTCAATTAACCAGTTCGCCAAAGCATCGCCTGGGATCGAGATAAGCGGATCGAATTTTAACGAGTCTTCAGATTAGTCGAAGTTTCGGAAGTGCTGAAGGAAAAAAAATCCAAATTAAAATCTGTGGAATGAAACGATTGTATATTTTTTTGTCTGTTTTCGCTCGCTGATCCATTAAAAAATTTGCAACTTGCATTTTTTCAGGGACACGACGATCATTCATGGCTACATTTACACAGTGCATTTAAGCCGCGGCCTCGTATCTCAAATTCGACTTTCAATCATTTAGACTCCTTGGCGTAAACAGTGATAGATGACATATCTTCTTTATTGTCAGATCTCGTTTGGCCTCGTTTTTTTTAGATCTAAAATATAGGCCGCAGAATAGGTCTCTCGGTGTAAACGTAGCCATTAAATTATTACGTCGACAAAGAATGAATGATCAAAGGAAGTTTTTATTGACAGAGATGAAAGATGCGTTTTTTTTCTAGAGATATTGCCTGGTCTCTGTCCCCTTCGGACCCCCGGAGAGAGAATACCATTAGAATCCGAGCCGCTTATTCCGAAACACTCCAAGTAGCAAGGTGACGTCAAATGATGTCATTAATAGCATCTTAATGACATTTTTAATGTCAATAAAACTTCATTAAAACGTCATCTTGATCCTTTGATCTTTGAGATTTACATTTAGGCGTAAAATGTACCTCTTAAATAATTTTAATCAATTTTTTCTATCACTGCCATTCGATCGAGACGAGGGGGAACGGAACACGCTTCAACGTTTTTCTGTTGCGATTCTTTAGACTTTAGGCTTTTAACAGTACTAGTGTGTAACAAATTTTGTCGAGCGGGACACGGTGAAAGACGTTGGTTGCGTTTCACGATGTCTCGGTACTCCGACCTTCCGAGAATGATGATAATAAAGTGCGAACTTGTCCATCCGAATCATAAACACTTGTATCTCATTTATGTGAGCTGCCACGATTGCACTTGCGTAACACGCACCTAAATTACGCAATCGAAGATTCCGGAGACGTTATGCGATTGTGGGCGTACGCGATTCTGGGTAAGTATTATCCTGAGTACTTCCTCGTGATCGAGTGACGAAATCCTGTTATTTTCTTTGATATCTATTCGATTGATCTGATATCAACCGAGCATGAATTTCGCATGATAAGATAAAATAATTGAATCGCTGTGGAGATAATAAAGATGTTTCCATAGAAACTCGCATTTTTTTTTTCAGAGACGTAATGCGATTATTACGTAGACACAGAGAATGATCCTAGGAACAGTTTTTATTGACAGAGATAAAAGATATGGTTTTTTTAAATCGATTTTAATATCTAATGGGAGGGGAGAGAGGGCGAAAACACTATAAGAGTCTACATAATGTGGTTCGATTATTCGCGAAATAATACTCAAGATATTACACATGGATCAATCGGTATGCGTACGTTCGTTCGACGAGCCGTATATAATTATGCGTGAGAAAATAAATTAACAAAGTGTCCACGCACGCATACACCCACACGCACACACAGTTACTCTCTCGCGGAACGGAGGCGAGATGTATCCGCATATACGCGTTGCAATTCAGTAATTAAGACACGAATGTTGGTCAACGGGAAACATAGTGAATGTACGAATGTCCGCTAACGTATTACAATAGTGTTACAAACGTTTTTCTTTTATTCTCTTATGTACGAAGGGACGACCGGGTGGTCAGTCCTCGTAAGGTCCTCCGCATATACGCGGTGCTTCTTGAAACCGCGAAACTACGAATAGGAATTCGATCCAATTTAATGTTCCTTGGATTAGACAAAAATAGGGACACGTTGCGAATAATACGCTACCATCCTATTCCGCCAATCCCTCCGACAAAGTATCGTCGCATTACGATCTACTTATTATACGCCGCTTCGGTTGCGAAGAAAAATTCGGGTTAAACACATTCGACGCGCGTGTATCCGAGTGCTGTCGTCAAAAACTGGCTCGTGAATAATGTATGACAGTATGACATATTCGGATGAAGTAACGGAAATACCGAGTCTTAATCGACCGATGCTCTCATCACCTACATTTTTTTATCTAATTAAAAAAAAAAATAATGCCCTTTAGAGACAAAAAATCGCTTCATTATGGCGAGAAACCGTGGAACAATCAAGAATACATATGTACAATATCTTACAACGATAACAAAACCGTACGTAAATTTTTTCGGCGTCGGATATCCCGTTTTTACATTACTATTTTTACAAATTCGACAATAGGAACACTAGCCAGTTATACGGAAGAAAAAAAAGGCGCCGAGTATGCAAGAGATTAGGCATCTCCATCTCAAACGAAGAAAAAGAAAACTAAAACGGACGCGGTATATTGCACGAAACTTCCGGTTTTCTTAATTACTAATATCTCGAGCCGATCTGAAAATTATACAACTGCAATCGTACTCGATGATAATGTGGGAGATACACAACTGTTCTCCACTCACATTCATCTCGATTAATACATGCGAAGACGCTATATATATATGTATATATATATATATACATATATATATGTGTATATATAAAGTGGGAAATGTGAGGTGAGGTGAGGTGAGGTGTGATGATCGGTCATCAACGCAACAACCAGAGGGCCATCTGTAATAAATTACACCAAGGCATATTTTATTCTTTTTTTCCTTTTAAATACGAGTTTTAGTCGTGTCACTAGTGTTCGCTAATTATTACGTTAAATGGATGTGATGTTGGCTGCTGGTTGTTATTATAATTGTAATTAATTAGTACTTATTAGAATCAAATGGCGCAGCAAGTAGATACACGGGCAAACGGTGTTGCTCATTTTTTTTTCATTTCTGTTTTAATTTAGGGGTATAACGCTTGTACTTGGTGTATCCTAAACTGCAATCTAATTTCATTTCTGTTCCGAAAAGAAAAGTGCTTCACTGTTTACGTACACTACTGTCGGCCCTTTGCTTCTGATTAATTTCGACATACTTTTTTTTCTTTTTTAGTCTTCATTAGAAAGATGTAGATATATTTCGGTTATTGATAATAATCAATTATGTATAATTAATAATAATATTAATAATCATAGTAATAATTCCTCGTAATAAATGTAATGCTTGGTACACAGAGATAACAAAACGACTCCACTTATTGCCGCGAACAAAAAAGGATACTTACAAAACGTGACACATGCACAATACTAGACAAAAACTCGGATAACACAAGAATGACCAGATTAATTTGTCTCGTGCTTTTTCTTTTTTTGTTTTCTGCACCATGACCATACAGTGGCGTAGTATCTTGATTATTTCTGCTGGCTCAATATTATATTTTATAAATTATACCGATATTTAATTATCTAAAAAAAAGATTCTAAAACGTCTTGCTTGAAACGTCTGTCGTATACCACTCGTTGACTACAAACTATCTTATTCCTTTCAGACATGATTGTAAAGTCCGTTCTTTTTCCAACCACGCGTGAGGGCTTGAGACAGACTAACAAGATGTTTGCAATTCTGGATGGTGATAACTCAATTAGTAAAACTGAAACACTTCCTGTGATTCAGCGATATAGATAGTAAAACTCTATTCCAAATCATAGATAGTCTGAATAATGCTCTCGAGGCTTTTGCAATTAATTCTTCTCATCCTCGTCGTCTTCCTCTTCTTCCTCTGATGCTTCAGCAAGCCATGTTAACCAGGAATTTACCTATAAATGACAGAAAATTTTTAATCGTTCAATTTAAATTATTCGATTAAATAAACAACGTATTATGAAGATATTGAAATAAAATAATAAACAACATATTTGCTATTTAATCTTAATTTTCGAGTTCGAGTTTGACGAAAATTGACGTAACAATTACCAAAATATATCGTTCTTAGTAATGTGATTATAGCAGTGCTAGGATTTACATGCACATTTCGGCCGATTTTCAACTTGGTTCCTGCCTCTTATTTCAACTCGCGCGCGCGCAGCCTAAATGCCGATCGGTTGAAAATCGGCCGAAATGTGCAAGTAAATCCCAGCACCGGATTATAGTATCAAACGAGAACCAGATGTAGATCCAGAATTGAGATTCGTCTAAATACTATTAGATTCCACTGTGCAATTGTAGCAAGCTCTTAAATAAAAATGTGCTATTTTCTATATAGTAACCGATGTTTAATAACCGTAATAATTGCACATTTACCTGGAATAATGCCTTGCCCTTGCCCGGATAAGCATCGGTAACGGTGTCTCTCCATTTGTGGTATGCTTCTTCTTCGATAACTTCAAGGTTATAGAGTGCTATGAACCATCGTAGCAGCAGCCCTTTTGGAAAATTGTGCGAGAAGCAAAACACTTGAAGCGCATGAAGAGCCGTAACTTGTGAGTCGATGGTAGTCAGGAATGTGCGAATAAAGCGTGCATATTTCTGCAGTAACGCACTTTCCTTCTCTTGCAGTTGTTTGTCTGGATTTACGGTCGGATCAACACCGGGCGCCAATGTTGTCTCCTATTATACATAGATTAAAAAAATGTTAAAATTTTACAAATTGAAAGATTCTAATTTTATTAATAATTGTGTTTTGTCTTGTAAAATAAAATAAATATGTTCAATAAAAGTTTTACTAACCCCAGTGATATACTTGAAAAGTACATTCATCATAGCATTAATGAATGCGGGATCAGAATGGTGTTGGGGATCCAGCTTCTCCTTGATCCATTTGTAAAGAGCATTGGGCGCCGGATCAGCTTCTAATTGACGCCACATATCACCCTGGATTCTGAGAAGAGGATAGAGGAAAGTCAATTCCCGATCTTCCAAGATCTCACCCAAACGTTCCTTCGTTTTTTCCGCTTCTGGCAGTTGGCTGATAAGATCCACTTTGCTGTCGTTAAAGATTTGCGTAAGTCTCGCCTTGCCCTGGGTTTTGTGGAGTTGCTGTAGGGTCAATAGAAACAGTGGATGATGACGACCATTTTCTGTTTCCGAGGCGAGATCCGTCAATTGGATTAAATTGTCCACTATAGCCTTAGCTGTCAGCAAGGCAACGTGAGACGCTACCAAAGGCACGGTACTCTCCTTCTCCGAAATACTGGCCACTAATTCCTTCCATCCTTCGTTCACTTGCTGTAGAGTGAGCAAGTTTTCTTTTTTTAATTCAGCTATGAGTTTGGCAGCGAGCTCACGTTCAGAATCTCCACGATCTAACGTGTTTGAATACATTGTGCAGATTGCGTGACGCAAGAATCGTTCGGGTATCTTAAGATCTTTGAAGGCTGTCAGAGCGTCTTGCACATTCGTGTGGGACGCGAGGTCGTCCATTAAGGCATTCACCTTCTTCAACACTTCCTCTCGTGTAGGTCCTTTGTCTTTTCTGTCCCTAGCTTTCTCCCGTTTGTCTACAGGACCTTGTTTGATCACAATAGCAGGTGGTGTTTCTTTGTGCAGTAAAGGCGAGCTGGGCTTCAGAGCAGTAGTACGTAAGAGTGGCATGTCTGAGCCCCGTCCTGGGAACAAATCTGTTATTTTTTTACGATTAATTACCACTATATATTCTACATGATTAATCTGTCAGTAGTAATTTTTCATTAGCGAAAATGACGTGAATGAATATTTACCATTGTTGAGAGGTAGGTTCAAGTTGATGTTGGTTTGTTTGAACATCATTGAATTGGCTGAGGGTCTTAGAGACACTTCTTCTGGATGTCCTCCGATCAGCATCTTATTTTTGTTGAATCGAAGTTGTTCTTTATTGCTATCTGTAGCAACAGACACAGAGTAAAAAATATCCATAAGAATTATTATTTGTTATAGTTACTTTTATTATAGTTAATAAAAAGAAACATTTAATTTATCGCTACTCACTGTTGTTAAAGTTTTGCGGTAAATTATGTTGCGGTTGGTTGCGTTTTCCCTCATAATTGTTCTGATGACGACTCTGGTTTGGATAGTAGCCTCCTCCTGGCTGATTACGTTGGTTGTGGCGGCCATAACCAACGCCAGGAGTTCCTGCGAATCCATTCGGACTGAATGGTGGTGGTGGCATACCGAATGAGGGGGAAGTCAATGGTATACTTCCCATCATCTCCACGTCTAATCCGCCTCGTCCCATTTTTCGTAAAAACTCCGCACCGAGGCGATCCTCTCGTCCTCTGTGGAAACCGTTTCCCCGCGATGGCTCCTCGTTGTCGTTGCGGATCTGATTAATCGGCATAGGGCCTTCGGTGCTTGTGGCCTTGCGCGGTTTCCAATCATCACGGCGTAACTCAATCACATCACGCAGCATGAATTTGATGCGTAGAGGAAGATCCCTACTCTCTGCCAGAGAGTTCATACGTTTGAAGTATTGATCCATGAGTCCGCGGCCCTTATCCGAGTCAAGGATACGGCCGCAGGTACGCATAATCTGGCAGAGGCATTCGATATCCTCCGCCGCGTCCCCCCGGGATCCCCCTCGCCTTTTCTTCTCCAGTAACTGCTGGATGCAACGATGTAAAATCGGCTCCGATACGATACCCAATTTCCCGAGCTCCCCAATGAATTTGATGTTACCAAGCATCTTGCGCTTGGCCACCTGTCGGCGCTCTTCTTCTTCGGGACCAAGCTCATCTTGATTCTCGAATGCCTCGCTTGCTTTTGAACGATTTTCGAACTCGTCTTTGCACTTGTTAAGTAAAAGAACTCTGAATGTGCTCTGGCCTTTTTGACTTTCATCGATCGGTTTACGGGGTTCAAAGTTTGCGGCTTCGTCAGACAGCTGTTTGCACAGCCGTGCGTACATAGAACTGTACTTGGGTTCATCAAGTGCTTTTTCGAAGATCTGAAAAATTGGTATTTCATTGAATCGTTACAATCTGTATAATGAATAGTCGTTGTTTATACGTACCAAGAAAATAACACCCTTGAGAATCACATGGGAATTAAGCTCAACGTTGAGCAGGTCGTTGCTCAGCTTTGCGAATTTTTCCGGTGTGAGCTTGTTAAGAATACCCCGCACCTTTCTAAAGATGAGATCATTTCGGCTTTCTGGGGTGAGTGCATCGCGTCTAACAGTTGAAGGAGGGATCCAGCGTTGCTCAGTGGATAGGGAGCGAATATCGTCCCTGGAAGGCATCGAATTTTTCTAATGTCAGTGTCACAAGTAGCAACGCAACGATTTGTGCTGATCTAATAAGTAATCGCTTTCTCGCGTTTGTATTTTTTTTTGTTTTTGCGTTACTTCCAAGGTAACTTTATGGACCCTGACCTTCCTCCCGAGACACGAGAAGCACCCCCCGGTCCTGTGGGGTTGTCCGTTGTTGCGCGTGTTTTGGCCCCCTTAGTGATAAATCACAGCACACAGATCTTCCTTGAGGAAGCTGTAAAAATCACGTCGCACGTTAAATTAAATATTCAACACATTTCTCTCAAGTATGCTTACAAATATTAATTGTAACTTATATCAGGTATCTATTATATTATTTCACGCTTGAGAATTTGGTTTGTATGTCCCAAGAATTTTAACTTTTAAATTAGTCTACTTGAAATGTGCGCTTTTAAATGTAACTCAAACCCGTACACAATCTTTTCTTTTCCTTTTTCTTTTGCTAAAAAAAGAGATAAGCGATCGCAAACACGGTTTATCGCTTCGGCCAACGTGCCGTTGCAATGAACTCGTTCAATAATATTCGAGGACATTCCTTTCATCGCTACCGTGACCCATATGTGCCGTTTACAATCGTAATTGCGCATGCGAGCGCAATTTTAGAGAAGGTTCTACTTGCGCGCACGATAAATGGCGCATGCGAGTCCTACGGTTAACGCACTCGAATCAAGTGGTTCAAGGATAAAATCATCAGACGCGGGACGTCACGTTTAGTGAATCGACTGACCACGGCAATTGGCGCACAGCTTTTCAAGTAAAAAATTATAAAAATTTTAATTGAGGTAAAGAAAAAAAAACGAATGTAAAACTCTAGATTAGATTGAGATTAGACAACGATCTCCCATCAAAAATGAAACTCTTGCCAAGGAAAAAAGTATCTCGAGATTATAAAGAGCGGTTGGGATCAGGAATGCATCCGACGGTTTCGAGACACCCTGTAGCCTTCGGAAGGTCTTCCACGCGGACGAGGCAAGGACCTTCTTTCCCCGGGGAAGAAGACGGCTTTGATCTTGCTCGCCTGCTTGCTTACCCGCCCGAGAACAAAACGATCGAAACCTATAGGGCGAGGGGAACGTCGAAGGGGAGCGTATGTGGGGCGCGGCTCATGGTCAGACGGTCAATGAACCCTCTTCTCCTAACCCCCTCCCGTTTCACCTCGACCGATCATCTCGCGGACCCTGCCGTCGTTCGGCCGAGGTCGGACGACTTCGTCGGGCTGCTCGACGGAGGTCGTGCTCGTCCGGCCGCCTCTACCGGGTGTCCCAAAAACTCTCGATTAGGACGATCGGCAAGAAGTGGCTGATTATGCAAGTTGAGCGATACAAGTAACATATTGGTACCTTGTAACTGATAGAGAAAACCTATTGAGAAAATAGACACGAGGAATAAATTTGATAATTCTTATGAAAAGAATTCATGTCTAGCTCTAATAATTCGATCGGTTGGTAATTTTTATACGATTAGGTCTGTACGAGATCGCGTCGGACGTACAACTGGCATCTAAATTGAGGTTTCGCGCTTGTCGAAACAGCGTTCGCTGTTAACGAGAGAGAAATCGACGCCCGCATTTAGCGTCAAATGTATAATGAGAAGGCAAGGCTGGGTTTTACGAAAATAGCATTCTCCAAACATTTGGTTTCAACTTGACGGCGTACGTAGCCTGGCTTAAATGCGCAATGAAAATATCCGGTCTCTCACGGACGCATCCGTGAGCGATCAGCGCGAGCTTGAATACTAAGCGAGAGAGAGAGAGAGAGAGAGAGAGAGAGAAAGGGGGAAAAAATCAACTTGTTAGAATGCATCGGAGCAAATTTCCGAACGCGAGATGCGAAAACCGAAGGAAGGTTGGCCTAAATCTGAACGTCGAAAATACTCATCAACGTGACACGGCAAAATTGCCACGCGCCGGACTTTGCGTTGCCGAACTTTGAAACGACGGACTCGCGGAACGTCACGCACTCGCCACGTGATACATACACAGGGTGGTTCCATCCGAATTCTCAATCCGTCTGCCATGCCGTTGAGAGTGTCAAAAATCTCGGCCACGTGCGATCGAATGGGCTACAAAAATGACCTTTGAACATCTGCTTCATAAACACGTCTCGTTTAAATTGCGATGCATAGAAACGATTAACATCACACAGCGATACACGGAAAAACAGAGAGAAAAAAGGCAAGAATTCCGTGCGAGAAGCTGCAACCGGTATCCGTATAATCCACGAGGTCAGAATTACAGGAGTATGCACGTGTCGGAATTCACAAGATAATTAAATAACAGAGATGCGTACAGCGAGGACGAAGCCTTTGTCTATCGCGTCTTTTCAGCCTGGTTTCTTTGTCGTTTGGTAAATACGACTCCAAAGTGCACATTTACGGCTCCATCGGCGTTACCAGTTATTTAACTACTTATCCGAAAAAAAAAAATCTGTGCGTATTCCCGAGATGCATCGGCCGTCGTATAAATCGTTTGGTCAACCGCTAATATCGGTCGCAACGATGATTCCGCGAATGTCCCACAGCAACGAGAATTACGCCGTGGAACGTAGAAACTGCATCGCAATTAATGATAAACATGTGATAACGAATGATAAAAAAAAACCCGTTGAACAAACAGTGACAATTAATAATGCCGACGATAAACGTAATGAGTAACGCGTGGTAAAGAGATAGAATATTTAACCCTCCGCCGGCAACATGAATTTTGACTCTTCCGTCAGTAATACGGATTTTCAAGAAAAAATCCTAGTATATTTGTGTGAAAGCTTTAACGAATTTTTACTATCATAGAAGATTGTATTTCACTTATTTTTTACAAATTTATCTCAAGTTATTTATTACAAATTTATTACGATATATTTATTATGAACTTATGTTTAATCGTTTATTACAAATTTAATTTACCAAATTTACAATCAAAATATAGTACTTTTAAAGAATTGTCAGCGGAGGATTAAAGAACTGGTACTTTATTTTGCTTTTTAAAAAACTAATCTCCAAAGCAGATAATGGATGTTTTCCATTTAGTGACACAAGCCGACACAAACATCATTCTATTTTTTCTAATATGTTCCAGTGACTAAAGTAAAGATGGAACGACACTGTGTCGATTTATATCATCAAATGAAAAGCACCCAATTTTTCTTAAGACTATTAAACGATATTCTCTCCGCATATTGATATCGCGTTGATATAAAAAATTTCCAAAAATGTTCAACTTGTACAGGAGACGAGATCATTGTCGTATACATATAAATATGTCTACGTTGCACTTTAGAACAGAGATAAAATCTCGTCGCGGTATTCCACGCCGTGAATAATCATCCAGTAATTTTGCGAATGCGGACTTTCCCGTTCCGATGTTTGCGCGCTGGACTTGGGTGAATTTATTTGCTCTCTTGTTAGGCGGATTAATATCGAAACGAAATAACGCCAAATAAAATAACACAATTAATCAAATAAAACTGGATTTGCAATTAATTGCGCTAGCGGATATATGAAAGCCGGGTTTTACATCCTCGAAATACGACGAGAAATACTATAGAGATACGACGCGACGATACCTATTTACTTGTATTAACGTCAGTATTGTTAATAAAGGACGATACTAATCAATTTAATACAATATTTATCGATTCGTAGTAAAAGGCAAATCAACGTAATTGAGAGGACAAATAATTGGATAAATCAATATCAGAGCTACGCGAACAGCCGTTGTTTAAGATTTACAAATCAATGGATACAATGATCGACAAAAAATTAACGCTAGGCTTTTTTTTCCAATCGTTTGACAAGACTCAGGAATCGTCGCCGAGAAATAGTTGACCTTTCATGAAATACAAAAAAAAAAAAAGAAACGGCGGAAATGTACTGTAGATTTGTTTTCGCGATTGGCACACGTTGCTTGATTGGCGGACGGTGCCGACAGGGTCCTTGAGAGAAATCGTCATGCACAAGGTGGATGACGACGGCACACAAAGAGATAGCGATAGAGTGACGCAAGGCGAGCGAGCGAAGAGCGAGCGAAGAGCGAACGAATGAACGAGTGAGCTGGAGTGAGCGAGCCAAACTTCCACAGCCCTCTTCCCCCAACGAGTACACCATTACTTTCCGTTTCCTCGTGACACGTCACTGATGCGCCGTGACGACTGCTCTCTACAGACCTACCAGGGCTGCCAACTATCAGTCGGAAGGCTAGCAAGAGAGGTGAATTGAATAGTAAATATACATCTCAAGAAGGCATAATGACTAACAGGGGAATAATAAAAACGAGTAAGCAGGCAAGTGGACTTGTTACTCGCTTCTGACGAAATCATGCTGGAACTGTGTCGAGCAGATGCAAGCGAAAAGTTCTCTTGATTAAAAATGTAAACGAAAATAATAAGCGGAGGAAGTACGATTCAAAGAATTTGATATAAAAGACGAGTGGAATAATTTGGTAGTTTGAGAGACATTGAATTCCGGTTGCATCAAGTGAGGAGAGACGAGCAATGAATCGCCCGTTGATATTTTTCCAAGGAAAAGTAATGAAGAAAGATGGGTGATTTGCTCGCTCGCATAACTCGTCGATGAGAGTAACGTTGAAAGTAATAAAAAGATAAGCAGCCAGTTATTTATCCAACCATTCTGACAAGATTGACAGAGAAAAGATAAATGAATAAAATTGCTTGAGTTTTGTCCTCGAAACTAACGAGAGGATAAGGATAATAAGTTGTTCGCGTAACTTTTCAATAAAAGATAATGAAAATATGAGTAACTCGTGTTTCTTAACTGAAGAATAATGAACTTGATATTAGCAACGAAGAAGATATTTATGATTTTCCTAAGGAAATAGACAATTTTAACATGTAGAAATTACCAAAAAGATGTTGAACACAAGAATAGAAATAGAAGACTACTTTATCGCAACTTTGCACCTTTTTAAAACAAATTATATATTAATTTTAAATAGGTGATAATTCACATGACACGTT